TTATGGTTGTTGTTGGAAGACAACTTAATTTGATGTCAATCTGAGAGGCTGGATTATGGTTGTTGTTGATAGACAACACAATATAATGTCAATCAAAGAGGCTGGATTATGATAGTTGCTGATATACAACAAGATAGGTGTTTTAACACCACTTTTAAGCACAGCTTTTGGGCTATTTTCGTGGAGGCCAGTTTTTATTGGTGGAGGAAGCTGGAGTGCCCGGAGAAAACCACCGACCTTTATACAACAAGATATAATGTCAATCTGAGAGGCTGGATTATGATTGTTGTTGATAGACAACAAGATATAATGTCAATCTGAGAGGTTGAATTTTGATTGTTGTTGATAGACAACACAATATGATGTGAATCTGAGAGGCTGGATTATGGTTGTTGTTGATAGACAACACACTATGATGTCAATCTGAAAGGCTGGTTTATGATAGTTGCTGATATACAACAAGATATAATGTCAACCTGATCAATTTCCTTGTTTCTTTGTTTCTTTACTGCAAGGGCAATGTGGTTCTGGATATCTACATTTGATGGCCAAAATCTCTTATTTATGATGGCGGGAATATCCTGTCCTTGGAAAAGTGTTGTCTTCGTGTATACTTCTAGTAGTACTCTCATCTGTGGTACACTGGTGATGTTTTCTTCCCATACCATTTTCCTGATGTATTCCTTCAATCTGTCATCTATTCCAGGTATTAAGCTTGCTGACTACAACAACAGATATATTGTTTCAATTCCAATTGTAAATTTTAAAATAAGAATAAGTTGGTTACTGGAGACACAGTTTTCTCCAATCTTTAGAAAATATCAGTAAGCATAAATTTGTTCAGTTGACCATTATACAGTCAAAGAATAAACAGAAAATATTGTTTTAATATTTGGAAGTAAATCACATTGCTTACCCTTGAAAGCAAAAATTACGAACAATAACTATTCTGGTAAATAGTGAAAGACTTCAAAATATGAATTATTTCAAAACTATAAATTTTCTCTTCATGCAGTCTTGTCTAATTTTTTTCTAATATGTTGTCTAATATTCATTTATCTGGTGTATCTTCAAAGTTCTACTTTTACATTTTAAGTAATACAAGTAAAACTAGTACATTTATTAAGTTTACAGTCTACAAAAAAAGCATTAATATTTTTTTTTACATAATCATGGTGAAATTGGCATATGGCCTTAATCATACTGATTTGTACCTCTCCTCTTAGATGGTTTTGGTGTTCAGTTGGGCCTGGAAATCAAATCTTTCTCATATGTCATACTTATTCCAGTGGTCTAAATGTAAAACAATTATTCATTTATGAAAATCAGAGAAATTAACTTTGCTTTGTAGACATAGTATTACTGTTTTTAATGAAAGCAGGTATAGTTTGAAAAATCTATGTTAGATTACATAAATATCTAAATATATTTAAAACCATATAAACTGAACTTTTTTTTTGCCATTAATGTTTGTTTTTGTTTTTAATAGCCTAAAATATGTTTTAAAAAACCCTAATTACAGTGGATTTCATATTTTCCAAGTCCATAGAATTGAGGTACTGACTACTGTTAAAATCAAATCAACATTTATCTTTTAGAGTACAATAATTTCAGTATGTAATTAAACAGTTCACAAATTAAAGAAGCTTGACATTGATATTGTCATGCAGATAAAATGAACTCACCATTACTATAACATGTGTCTGTCAGAACTTCTTCATAGGTAAAAAATCAAAGAAACATGCAAATAAAAAGTAAACTCAAATAAAAACAAACAAGCAATATATATATGCTGAAAGAAAAAAACAAGTAAATTAAAGAAAAACTAATGGATCAAAATTGTCAACATGAATCATGATTGTTTCTCTGCAGGTTTTCAATTCAAGCAATTTAAACTATCATGATTATAAGACAATCAAATCTGTCAAAATAAATGAGTGTTTCACTTAAAGCTGACCTTTCTTAAATTCAACTGCGAGAAAAACCATGTCAAGTAATTTAAAGAACAAGAAATATCAACTTTTTAAAGAAACAATTCACAAAAAAAAATTTCAGTGAAATTGTAGAGGCAATTAGTGTATTCTATTTACAGGAAGAAGACTCGTGTTTATACAGTCTTCACACTCAACCACAGGCCCACCAGCCCAGGCTTGTAAAAATGTCTTCGGGCCTGTAAAAATCATCTCTACAGGCCAATAGAATCTAACTAAAATTTTCGTATAATTCAGCTTTAGGCCTGTAGCTTCAAAAGTTTATCATGAAGACTGTTTATATACTATAATTTACATTGTATGATTTTCTAATAATACAGCTTATTCCAAGTCTATATATACAAATGTATTGCTGTTAAGAATTGATGAGTATCACAAATCACTGACTTTAATATAACACTTTCACAAAAATAAACTGAAGAAAAAAGAACATCAAACAAGGATATCAACCATATTATACATACCTTGTAGTCAGGAAATCTAACAATATGCCTTATCCTCAATTTAACTCCACAGTTCTTCTTTTTAGTTGGTTGAATTTGTCTCCTCTGTCTACTGAAGTCATGGTCCTCCTGTGATAAATTTGTAACATAGTTATGTATATATAAATATAATTTGTTTTGCATGCACACGTATAAAAATTGCGGTTTTTATCCAACGCAATCATAGGTTTGAACGTTATTTTCAATTTAGACTCGTATATATATATATATATTTTGTTTTTATTATACATGATTTAAAAAAAACACAACAAATATGGTCAGGGTACAAACAAGGATTTTTTGAGTCATTTAAAAAGTGTAATTTAACAGGAACTTTGTATTACTTGCATGCTTTCAAAAATCTTTTTTAGTGAACAAATGAGATAAAATGCTAATAACAAAACAGTACCAGTTTCTTGTTTACTAGTAAATAAACTTCATTCCTAAAAGTAAAAAACAATGAACACTTATAATGGCAATTACGAAATGATAATCAGTAAATTGTAGTAAACAAGCTCAGGTGATGTATTTTCAAATTCCCTCAAATTACCATCTCTTATTCATTTGCTAGTTGAGAGATCTCATCTTGATACAGATACTAGCTGTAATCAAATAATCTGTTATCAAATTGAAAAGAAATATGATGGATGTACCGTTTGTACTGAGGAGACTGCATTTCCTCATTATGTAGGCCATGTCCATCATTATGCCGAGCAATTATTTCAATAAATTTCAAACATATATGACTTGAAATACAGGTATAATTAAATCATAGACTGTGTTCACTTTTACACGTTACACCTCATCACATTAAAAACCTGTGTCATGATACACTGTACTGTACAAGTAAGTTATTGAAAAGATAAAAAATATAGTTAACATTTCTTTGTCTCATTTTTTCTTTTCATCTTTCGATTCTTGTCTCTATCTAACCCTTGGTGACACTCCAACAACTTCTTTCCAACAACAATAAAGGGTACACCAGTAGATGGTATAATAGGCACTGCATCTGGCTGGGGATCCTTGAACCAGATCTTTTTCATCATGTTCATAACAGCAGAAAAATCTGTCAAAATACAACAAGTCTGCAATATTAATATATCTAAAAGTAATATTGTTTTAAAGTACATTATTAACATAAGAAATGTGGTATGATTGCCAATGAGACATGTACATATTTTTTAGGCTTATAATACTTTTTATTTGTTCTTGTTTACCTTGTTCATTCAAAATATGTCTATAGTATATACATTGGTGGTCTTGATTTGTCTTGTACATTTAGGTTGGTTTGTTGTCTCCTTCTTCGACACATTCCCTGTTTCCATTCTTTATTATAATGTTCGAGTACGAGTAAAAGGTGCCAGTTTTTAAAAGAGGTCTGAAAGCACTCTAGGGGCGGAGACTACGCATGCGACATCTTTGCCACATTCATAATAGTCAGTCCTATATTTTACTCCATTTTTTAACATGGTCATGGTGTAATATTGAGTACACTATACACAGTACACTGATAATAAACTGTTTAAGGTTTCTAAATTTTAATGCTCCTTGTTTAAGTTCAATTTACAGTTGCGGAGACTGATTTATGGGAAGGGGGTATTATACATGTAATATATATGGAATCACTGAAGCATGACTGAAGATTGAAGGGCCCCCTCTTTAGGTTTTTATGGCTATTCAGTCAATGCTCCACACCTTCTGGATCTGCCATTGAGCAGCTTTTACAATATATTAATAAAGATAATAGATTCTGACTGATGTAATTTCAGCTCCGGCATGAATTTTTGTTGACAAGTTGTATAATTTTATAAAAACGTACGTGTATACAGAGACATATAATACAATTGTATTATATGTCTCTGGTGTATATAATATACAAATCCTTCATATATAGGAAAGCACTGTCTGTCCAACATTTCAGTATGTACTTTTATTATGTATTTATGTATTTATAAATCTTTTCATATGTTTGATTAATTTTGATTCCTGAAACTTATGAGCCATACAAGTTATGTCTTATGACCCGTATCATTACCTGTTCCCTCTAATCCAAAATATTTGTCTTTTTTCACTACTCTAAACTTTGAGTTTGTATCAATTTCATATTCTCTTATGGCCAGTTGTATTTCAGAGAACGATTTCAATGAAATTTCTGTCATCTTTTTACGTATAAATTAGTTAACTTGTGTGTAATGTTCTCTGGCATTCATAATTGCTTCTTTATTTCCCGCTTTGAATAACATTAATTCTAAAACGAAAATAAAATTCGGTATCATTTCCGGAATCTGAGAAGCCTCCATAGGATATAAGGAAAGTTCAAAGGGGGGGGGGCGAACGTGTTTTTGGGCGAAAGGACCCGGATTCGTATCCATCAGAGCATGGAAGTAAAATGAGTCAATATAATACTTCCATGATCACAGTAATGCATTTTTTCCACATATCGTCTGAGACTATTATACTAATTAGTTAGTATAATAGTCCCAGATATCGTGTACTAACTCGAGTATGGTTGGATCGATTTACTTACAGCCGATTTCAAGATAGACTCTACGTATCACTAGCCTAGGGTAGTATGAATATTCATCAAGTGAATTTTATGAAGCAACAACAAATGGAAGTGTTTAACGACCTTGACTGGATATACATCCCTCGTATGAAGCAACGCGGGATACGAGATAACGTCATTGGCGCGATTATCTAATTTCAGAGAGAACTATCAGCAAGCGGAAAACAAAAATATGTTCAGAAGTTCTTAGATATTTCCCATGATGTAGGGCATATATCACTGGAACCATTAAAGGATTTGTATAGTGATACACTATACAAAACCTTGCTGGAACAGAGACTTTACCAAAATAAGTATTTTGAATACTGAATCAGCTTTAGATATTGTACAGACACGGCATCTAGGCACTCAAAAGACGATTATAAAAAGGGAGGTAGTTACACGCAACGAAATATGCATACGAGGGCTACCCTATTCAAGGGCGGATCCAGCCATTTATAAAAGGGGGTTCCTAACCCAGGATAAAAAGGAGGGGGGGGGTGTGTTCCAACTATATGTCCCCATTCAAATGCATTGATCGTCAAAAAAAGGGGAGTTCCATGCAACCCCTGGAACCCCCCTTGGATCCGCCACTGCTATTTGTTCAATTCAATTCAATTCAAATTGAATTGAGCAAATAGGATAGCCCTCGTGTGCATATTTCCTTGCGTGTTACATATGAAAACATACAGAAGAGCTAGTATATTAAACCAGCGACAGTAACAGATCCAAAATTTTCATAGGGGGTCTCATTGGGGGGTTCTGATCCCGGATCCCGCATACTGTTTTGTCAGATTCCCGTATCCCGCTTACACTATGTACGCAAGTAATTCTCATTTTTTTGTAATTTCCCGTATCCCGCTAGACATCATTTCCCGTTTTCACGGCACAATATTTGACTTTCACGTGTCACGCTTACAAAAAATCGGCAATCCCGCGTCACGCTTAGACCCCAATGAGACCCACTTCATATGGGGGGGGGGGGGGGGGGGGAGGGGGTACTGCTCCAGTCCACGGGAAAGGGACTTCAGTCTTGACTACAGGTCAAATATATGTAATATATTATAGCCCGTCAATCGTCTACATGCATTTAAAAAAAAAAAGGCACTGGCTACGGTTACATGGAAATGTAACAATAATAGAATAATTATTGTTACATTGGAGACTAATTGCCGGAATGCAGTGTTGGGTAAGGAACCGATTAATTACGAGTGTAACAATAATAATTGAGTCTACGGTTACATTGCGTTATTGTTACATTAATGCAAAATAAAACTTGAAAACTTTTATTTGAATTTTGCAATATTGCATACAATTTTTAATTTTTTTATTTACAATGTCAATTCTACAAATCCCGTATGTTGTTTATGGAAGCATGATTTAGTCCCACGCATTTTAGTGAAACCACTAAGCATCCATCACAAACAAGTGATGCAGCAATGTGCACGTCTGTATTGCATACTGTACAATTACATTTTGCACTATCCCTTTTTGAAGTTTAAAGAAACTTTCAATGTCTGTCATGATTCATATGAAAAAATATTTTTTTATTCTTGTGATGTTTATGTTATATTGTGAAGGCAATTCAGTAATGTTAACATTTGCCGACATGTTGAAACTGGTGGAATCAGTGCTTTCATTTTCTGAGTCCAGATATTATGTGATCGTAACTTCGTTCTTATTGGCGAAAACAATTCAGCATCAAAACTATAAGGTTTAAGTTTAAAAAATCTAGCTTAAATTGAAGTGCATAATTAATATGTAACGACAACGCAATGTAACCATAGACTCAAATAGTATTGTTACATAATTAATCGGATCCTTACCCAACCTTGTATTCTGGCAATTAGTCTCCAATGTAACAATAATTTTATTATTATTGTTACATTTCCATGTAGCCGTAGCCAGTGCCTTAAAAAAACGTATGCCCCTACTGTAGACGATTTATTGGCTATATATCTGATCTGTAGTCCAGTCCCTATGCTCCAGTCTTGCCTGGGTGATTCCCTATATAATCCACCAAATTTTTCGCACAAGCGGGGGGTCCAATGCACCCTGCTTACCCCCTAAATCAGTGTTTGAGAGACGCATATTCACTTGTATATATGTCTCAGAATAAACCAATCTAAAACCAAACCTTAGCCTAACTCAATTACTGATTAGACCAATAATTATGATGTCTTGAAAGGCTTTTTTATTTTTTTGGTCATAATTATCTGGACTACTGCTACCTATGATCCCATCATTAACATATGATCGAAGGGGGTGGGGCAAGGGTGTTTCAATCTTGCACACAGTTACAGGGTTTGGTACAGACATCTGGCTGTTGTTGTAAACCAGACACCGTGCCCCATTCATATACATTTATTGTACATATATTTTTGTTTGCAAGAATCTGTACATATATACCCGTTGTTCATATAAATTTCAGAAGAAAATCATTACCCATTGATCCATAAAAATATATTTTCCAAGCTATCAGATATATAGCCAATAAATCGTCTACAGTAGGGGCATACGTTTTTTTTTTAAAATGCATGTAGACGATTGACGCGCTATAATATATTACATATATATATTTGACCTGTAGTCAAGACTGAAGTCCCTATGCAATGGACTGGAGCAGCCCCCCCCCCCCTAATGAAAATTTGGATCTGTTACTGTCACTGGTTTAATATAGCTCTTCTGTATGTTTTCATATGTAACACATAGGGTAGCCCTCGTATGCATTCGTTGCGTGTAACTCCCCCTCCCCCTCAGTTTAGTAATCGTCTTTTGAGTGCCTAGATGCCGTGTTTAAATTGTACACAATATCTAAAGCTGATTCAGTATTCAAAATACTTATTTTGGTATAGTCTCTGTTCCAGTGATATATGCCCTACATCTTGGGAAATATCTAAGAACTTCTGAACATATTTTGTTTTCCGCTTGCTGATAGTTCTGTGAAATTAGATAATCGCGCCAATGACGTGATCTCGTATCCCGCGTTGTTTCATAAAACTCATGAATATTCATACTACCCTAGGCTAGTGATACGTAGAGTCTATCCGATTTCAATGAGTGTGTAGGAAAAGGTAATCTCTTTTGGTTAGCTTGCTTGCTAGCTGAATCGTGAAGTCATTATTAGGTTTGGTAAACTACCCTCCTTTTTGAGTAGACTAGTCCAACAGACAGATAGAATTGGTTACCTGTGGGACTAGTCTACTCATGAAGGAGGGAAGTTTACCTAACCTAATAATGACTTCACGGTTCAGCTAGCAAGCAAGCTAACCAAAGATATTACCTTTTCCTACACACTCATTGAAATCGGATGTGACAAGTTAGATTGTTGTTGGAATTGGTAAAAGCAGAAGTCCATTACTAGACTAGTAATCGACTTCTGGTAAAAGTAATTACAGCAGATTCCATTGAGTGTGTAGCCAAAGGTAATATCTTTGGTTAGCTTGCTTGTTAGCTGAACCGTGAAGTCATTGTCTAAGGTTAGGTAAACTACCCAACTTTAAGAATAGACTAGTCCGACAGAAAACCAATCGATCTGTCTGATGGACTATGCTACTTCGAAAGGAGGGTAGTATACCTGACCTAATAATGACTTCACGGTTCAACTAACAAGCAAGCTAACCAAAGATATTACCTTTGGCTACACACTCAATGGAATCTGCTGTAAGTTCCCTTTTCGAATTTTAAAATTGTCTGGTTTGTCTTTCCAGAGTTATGTGACCGTAACCGTCAGATTTAACTTATTTTTTTTAAATTTCGCTCACCAAACCAAGAATGCTTAGATCAATTTATTTAAACCTTTACTCTATTTTAGGCATTGTGAATAGTGAGCAAAGGATATAAAAAAAAATTAAACAAAGAGCAAAATTGGAGTGTGGTTGACATAATTCTTTGGTTTGGCATTCATTGATCCTTTAAATTTGAAGATATTCCAAATGATCAGCGCTGTGTGAAGTTTGTGAACTCACATTTCACCGCCCGAATCCGTAGTTCCTCTAATTCTTTTGGGCATCACTACCGCAAGACATACTACAAACGGACCGGAATCACTCTATGCTCAATACAATGAGCAATTTTATTCAGCACATCCATGTATTTTTTTTTGGATTTCTAGACGTTATTTTAAAATTTCAAACCACCACATATATATCAAACTTGTTATATAAGAGGGATTGATACAACAGCAGTTGTACGTAGAAGTGAAAAAGAGAAAAAAAAAAAGAGTATTTGATGGAGCAATTTGCTATTTTTTCAGTGCTTACCTGTAAAATGAATGCGCGCGAATGTAATAAAAAGTTTCTGCAATGTGGGTTGATTTGGATGAAGAGTAGGAAATAAGGAAAGCCACTGGAAAGAGGGGGTCAACGTCATTTGGTCTACGGTGGAGAGTTCAAGGTTCACTTTTGGCCAAACATGACCTTGAATTTAAACTTCGTCATATAAGATAAACAAGAGGCTCATATGAGCCTGAATTAATCTCTCACCTTTATTTTTTCTTCTGCATTGCAATCAGTTATATACTGAGTTAAACCATTTTCTAAGGGTAATAACGGCCAATTGACAATTTCGGCAAATTAAGTTGACCTATCTGTTGATCATAATTTGCTGAACAATTTTGCCTATTTCAGTTTCTCTCTATCTAATTGTAAAATATGTCTTTCAATGGCAATTGACTAGGGGCCAATTGACGATTCACCCATGTTGACTTACTTGTAGATCATAATTTGTTGAACATTTTAAACAAGGAAAGATTCCCTCTATCAACTATAGTTTCCTAACAAATATGGTAAAAAAAGCTATGACACCTATAAGGGGTCATTTTGACGATTTCTGCCAAATTGAATTTTTTGTAGATCTTATTGTTCTGGACATTTTCACTATTGAAATTTTTTCTCTATCTGCAATAGTTTTCAAGATAATAATCAAAAACTGTGAAAAAAATGATATATCAGGTACAGTAACTCCAAAATGGGTTGTCCGATTTTCCTGAAAATTCTGCAGATAAGACCTTGACCTGCTGATTAATTTTACTACCGGTACATGTTAGATTTGCTCTAACTGATTAAGTATTTAGG